CCATAAGTGAGCAATGAGCAGTTACAAGATACTCAGCTAGCCCAACATGATTATGCATACTGTAGGAAGTTACGAGTCCTCTGAGTTTACGAAGAGATTCGTTTATTACCCCGGAACTTGAGGATTTTTTCAGTAGCACTAACACAGAATTTAGCCTTTCTCCCATGAAAATTGATGGTTTCCTATGGTCAGGGATTTTGTAGTCTTTATCCAGAGTTTGTAGTCTTCTGTTAGCATTTTTGTAGTCAACACTACAATGTCTTACTGACCATGTGAACCGTCTGGTGATGGCGCGGATTCTCGCTCAAAATGGTCATCACCGGTTAAAGGCACTTTATATACCCAACATAAGTCATATTATTTTGAATGAGCATCTATATCAACATCGACAAGGATGGTGATGGTCCTCATTCCCACGAATGATTCTTCCTTAATTATATATACCAAATGCTTTTATAATCATTTCATCTGGCACTCATGGTATATGAACTGCAACCGGCCCACCAAATACACAATGATGCAACATGTGGGCTGGTCAAGTTGACAAGGCATTTTGTGTGTTCCTACCTCAAGTGTGTTATAGGTGGTATCAGATGTGAGCATGAATTTGTTATCTAAAAAACCCCAAGAAGAAGGGAAACAAATGATGATCGTACTTTGCCAAAACCTTGCAGGAGGTTTCAGTGGTTCCTATTGTCACATGTCATTCTGTTTGGAAATGACATTGATCACAAATATTTATAGTTGTACATCAGATTTTTCAAATGCCTCTTGTCCATCATCATTTTGGGTGGTGGGGTATATGCCATCAAAGCTTGGGGAAATTTCTCCAATTATAGATGCCTCATGTGAGCTTGATTCCAATGTTATTGATGCTTGTTTATCAGCAGCATGCAAGATTTGAAATTACACAAATTGGCTGCTGGCTGTTCATCAAAACATGGATTGTCATATCAACAATGCACTGTGTAAGTTATTATTGCCCTATTTCAGTCCAGATGCATCCTGCTCATTATTATATAACACATAATACTACAATTTAAGTAATTAAATCCTCTGGAATATTACCTTTTTTCTGCATTTTGATTGATGTAATTTGGAGTAGATATGACAGAGTTACAGTATTGTCTCTCTGAATTGTTGGTATAACCTGGGTGATGACATGCCAATTATGTAAAACATACTCCTAAATTTTACATAATTGAAATGCATGAAATTCAGGCTAGATCTGGCAGAGTTACAGTATTTTCCTTTGGAATTGCTAATATGACCTGCAGTGATGACGTCACGAGGATCTCTTGTGCCTTGCAATGATGCACGAACGTTTCCCATCAATGTGATCGGGAAACGTTCGTGCGTCATCATTTTCCTTGGTGTGCCATCGCTTAGTCATCATTTTTAGTAAAAATGAAGATTTACCTGTAGTTCTGCCAATTCTGGTCCAAATGACATGTTTTTTTTTGTGGTATGCACTCCTTAATTGCAGAACTATTCTAAAACGACAATGGATGTAGAGAAATACAAATAAACAGTCCACAATCCAAAACATTCAACATTTTCAATGTATTTTTGACACTCATGATCATGTTTGTATGACCATGGTTTGAAAATATTACAAATATATTTATAGATTCTACCAAATACTTCCAAATATGTATATACCCTTCATCACATGTTGTTGCTTACTCATCTCTTTGGGGCTAAAGTAAAGAATTCTCTGTAGCTCTGCAAACTCTGGTCCAAATGACATGGTTTTTATGAGCAGCACCCCTTAATTGCAGAACTTTTTTAAAATGATAATGGATGTATACAAATACAAATAAATCGATCATAATCCAAAACATTCAACATTTTCAATGTCTACTTTATGGTCATAATCATAGTTTACAGATTCTATGAAATACTTCCAAATATATACATACCCTTCATCACATGTCATCATTTGATTATAAACAAATACAAATAATTAGTCATACAATAAAATGTGTAAAACAATTAACTTATCATGACTATGTATTACTTATCAAAAGTATATATAGTCTATGAGGCTAGATTTATTTGCAAAAATGGTATCAACCCAAAAATAGCTAAAGAATAGTAGAGCAATCAGAAAAAGTTGGAGGGTGTCCTTACCAGTAGTAATAACATTATATATTGTGTTTACAGTCCATAGTGGACTTCCAAATATGGTAATCTATCGGAAAATAGTCATAAAATAGCACAAATTTCAGAGAAAATTGGAGGATATTGCTTTACTGTTAGTGATAATGTTATGCAACAGTTAGTTAATATAGTACTCAATCTACATATTACTATAAAATGAGCAAAAATTAGGAAAAACATAGAAATGTTTCTTATCATTGTGGAACCAATACTTGACATAGTGATCGCTCAGGTAGTGGGACAGTCATTGGAATGCCTAGTGGACTACAATGATCAAAGGGGTGAGGACTCACCAAGTTGGTCTAAACAGCTTAGTTGCATGCTCAGAATCATAGAATGTGACTGTTCAGCACTGTCATACTCTGATCTCCACAAACAGTCCCAGTGGAGATTGTGACAATGAAGTTTTTGATGTCTGACTGCTGATCTCTCAAAGCTTGAAGTAAAGCTATTGGTAGGGCTTGAGTATCCAAGTGATATAAGAGGTACAAGTGGTGGCAAGAAGATATCATTTCTTTATGTACACAAGGTAAATTACAGTGATTACATAAAGCGTAATGTGTGGTGATACAAAGAATGAAGAGTGGGCATATGGGTCAATAAATGGAGGCAAGTCTCAGGAGGTAGAAAGGGTAGATAGGTAGGATAGGTAGGATACTTACTAGCATGCTACACATTGATGATGATGCTAGAGTACCCTGTTTAGAGTCTAGGGCAATAATGGCCTTGGAAATGAGGACTCGTTCCTGCCATGCTTGCAATGGCCTCTTACACAAGTCTGATAAGTAGACTTATTCTCTTTACTTCTCTTAATTTTATATGTTGGACCTTTTAAAAACTTAATATACTTTTTTTTAATGATTTTTTTCTTGTCTGCTTTACTGAGACCCTTGTACCACTTAGCTTGACGTTCAGAAGATGTCAAAGCTGGTTTTTCTGGAGCAAACAATGTATAAAATTGAGAACATCATGAGGAACACATATGTGCTGATAAAACCTCCAAGACCTCTGCAACTGGAGATTTGCTTGATATTGTAACATTGTGCATCTTTGCAATGGATTTCGCTTGAACCAATGATATTTTTCCCTTTAATAATTCCAATGGCATATAACATATAAGCAGTTCAGGGTTTTTACGTAACTCAGCCTGAGCAGCTTGAAGCACAAACTGGCCAATGTATTTATAATTAACCGAGGTTGCATTCTGTAGCTCTAGACTGTATGGAGTGATGTAATTTTTTATTTCACTCAAGTTTGTGCTAATCTTTCCACCCCCATATTGAATGGAAGGCACAACTGCCATCATTGCTTGACAAGGGCACCCATACCCATACCAATGTTTAATAGAATGAAGGTAAGGTTCATTTATGGTGGAGACTTGGATAGCTGAAACTCTATTTGTCAACAATAGTTCATAGCCATACCAGTTGGAGATGGATGAGAAAGAGATAAATGTATAGGCCATTATATATTGAATTATTTTTGAAATAAGAATAAAAGAGGACAAATGCACAACAAATCGATGTCGAACAAATAGTGCAGGTAGTGAAAATGAGAGATGCTCTTGAAACAAGCGAAGTTTATTTGCATATACATGACAGAAAGTACAGTGTCTTGAAAACTGAAGTGCAAGCAAAATGCAGAGCTTAATGGCATAGTTAACAGATAAGGAATATGCAATTGCACTATAGTATACCAAGGCTGGTATTTGACTGCACAGGTATTCTAACGTGAAACCAAATAGTGAATGAATAATGCAAGTTACTTTTACTTTTAGTTCTCGAAATTCATCAGCAATGACAGAGTTTGTCATAGCCTGAACATCTATTTCCCAATCTCTCTGCATAGTCAAGTGTATCTCAATGTCATTGACATAGTCAACATGTGCCAGCAGGCTTGGATTGTTTCCAATCTCTATTATGGGTGCATGATGGCTCAGGTTGTTTCCAACCGCTATCAATCCTTGGCAAATTGCTTTGGATTCTATGTTTGTATCAATGGGATAGATTGTAAGGAGCAGAGGGATGATAGTAAGTAGCAACAGAGTCCACCGATATGGATGCATAGTCGATGGAGGACAAAGAATATTGGCAGTCATTGTTCAAATATTTGAAAGTTGAACAATCACATGACTTAAATTTACACGGACATGTGATTCAGCAATATGGGTGTTATGGACAATGATAGAGCAGTCAGATGCTTGAACATGTCTCTGGGAAGCAGATTATGTTCCACAGCCAAACAAATAGACGATGCAAAGTTTCGGACATCAGCCGTGTCTTGAATGATGCCTTTAGATTGATCATGACTAATAGCAGTCATAGAGCCAGCAACTTTATTGTAGGCAGCCCAATTCTAGTAGTGTAAATGAGTAATCCAAGTAACAAAAATAAAAGGAGAACACAAACAGATGCAAGGGCTGGAGCATCTAGAGGGATCAAGGTTTTCAGACGAACAATGCTTGTTTGCTTTTCCAATAATTCTAGAGTGGCAGGTTTTGTAAAAGCTTTGCAAGTAGCAGCTAATTGCACCAGATCGCAAAGCGAATCAATCTGTGTGAAGACCAATGATCTCACTTCTGCAATATTCCATGCTTGATGCATAATAGACATTGAAAAATTGAAGGTTTGGATGAATAAAGACATTGATGTTGTAATAAATATTTGTGATAAATTGTGCTGCCAAACAATGACAAGCTTGGATGCAAAGTATTTAGGTTCACAAATTTTGAAAAGAAGAATAGCAATGAGCGATATTGATTGCAAGATGATGGTGAGAATATTGTACAAGGTGCACATGGCATATAACAAGAGCTAAAGACGACAGCATATAAAACATTATTCCACTTTTGCTTTCTTGCGTGGAGGTTTGACAACATCAACAATCATGTTGGCGTTCTCAGAGTTAATCCGCAGCTTAGTGGCCTGAAAGTACTTGATATCAAATGGAGTCTGCCCTGCAAGAGCAAAATCTAAATATTGATAAGCACTTGCAAAATAGAATAACTATATATTACTCACCAACAGATGGGGCTCTCCACAACGTGGGTTCCCATTCACACTGCCATTCAACATTGTACTTCTCCTTCTCCTCAAGAGCTAGAGAGCATGAAGGAACACGTTCTTTATATGCCCATGCAGCCTTCAGAATCGGATCTACCTCAAGAATGTTGGCAATCTGTTTACTGAGCAAATGGGAGGTGCAATGGGGGACTCCACCATAACTCTTTGCTTCAGCAAGGCTTTTGTAGTCTGATAGACTAGCCAAAATCTGAACAAAAAAAAGAGATATCAGATCGTCGGCAAGACCATCTGGTGGGCCAGTGAAAGTGGCACATGAACGGAGCCACTTGAGGATGTGTAAAGCCACGCCACGTGCATAGCAATACGCGATTCTTTCATTGTTGGGTATGGCATTGATGTCACCAGTGTCCATCAATGTTCTTTGGGTAGGAGAGGCTTCATCATCTTCCCCTTGATTTGGAGTGCTGTAAGTCCTGAAATCTAGAACATTGCCAAGAATAATCAGGACTGCAAGACAGATGATATTGAGCATGCCCTCCATCGTCTCGACGTTAGGTAGATGAACTGATGCAGGATCTGGAAGTGGAAATGAGTCAAAGATATAAACAAGGAGGGGAGAATCTCACCGTCTTCAGAGATGCCACCCTCAATGAGGCCAACTTGGTAGAAGATCAGGATCCTCCGCAATAGGTGACGAGAGGGAATATGCTCCGTGTTTGTTAAAAACTTGTTGAGAACAAAGGCATGTACAATGCCTTGCAGAGTCTCCTGCATAAGATACGAGGAATAGTAATGACCGCCCTGTGCAACCACATCATCTATGCCATATACCCAATGTGCAGAATTGGGCAGCATATGACTGCAATATCATGAGATAATGCCATGATTATCAACACAACACTCACAGTTCATCACCAGGCCAAAGAACAACAGCCTCAAAGTCATACTTGATATCCTTGGGCTTCCCAGAGAGAGAAAAACCATCTTCATCCATGTAGAAGTCAATTGAAGAGAGTTTTTTCAAATCTTGTGGTCTCAAGAAGGCCCACAGTTTTCATCCAACTTTAGTGCCATATCTTGTGTTAAACCCATCGCAGTCAATGTGGAGAAAAGTGAGAACATGCTTAAGACCGGCAATACCCCATTCACGGTCCTGGGTTGGGAAGGGTCCATGAAGTGGAATTCTGTGGGTCCCACGGGTAACATTCCATGCAACAGCATCTGTTTCATAATTGTTTGAAGGATGATAGGAAGACCACATGGGGAGGTCAAGTCCGTTCAAAATCTTGCCGGTGCTTGAGGCATTCTCAAGAAGGTCGTTAACATAGCCACTGACAACAGAGGGAACACAGTCGGTCCCTGGGTTGATGACTGAGAAGTCTATAACAATGATTTAGATTATTAGACCAAAAATATATATATATAAGTTCAAACGAACCGGTAATGGAGATCTGTGCAGTCATGGAACCAACAAGGGTGCGAAGGCCTTTGGCATCAAACTGCATCTTTTCATTGAAGGGGAGCCCAGTGACGACGACCTGTTTATGGCACATTTTGTTCTGGATGTCTGAGGCAGACATGGTCGAAAAGTCTTGATGATGCAATTTTGCCAGACAAGATTTTTGCGGATCCACGATGTGAGGAGGATGACCCTCAATGTAACCATCATAAACAAGATCCATAAACTCTTGGAACCGGTCATTGAAGACACCATGCTGAATGATAAAATATAAATGATTATTAAAACTCATAAACAAGTTTGACACGTACATGGAATTCTGGCATGAATTCATGAGGATTGCCATCAATATCGTAAACTGTGAATGACCGGTCACAGACAATGGGAGGAGCTTCTTCTTTACTAAGAGAAATCTCTTCGTCCTTGCCCTGTAAAGCTGATTAGCATGGACAAGACTGAAATCAAATGAAACACACATAATCGTGCAGTATTGCAGGTTCAAACATTGAGAGAAACTCATCAACATTGATTGGCTTATCTGGAGAATTCCCAATAGAACCGAATCGAGAGCGTTTCCTAGGATTATCCTCGCCACCAGTCGCTTGGGAACCCTCCGCTTTGGGTCCCTTAGTGTCTACCTTTGATGAGCCAACCCTGGGTTACGAGTCCTCTGAGTTTACGAAGAGACTCGTTTATTACCCAGGATCTCAGGACTTTTTTCAGCGCGGTAACGCTGAAATTTGACTTTCTCCCACGAAAGTGATTTCTTCCCATGATCATCTGTTTGGTTCGCCTACATGACTTTCCTAGTCTACTTGACCATTCCTTGATTATTACTGTCTTTTAGCCCTATCCAGGTTGTCGTTGATGTAGCTTGTGGCTAATATATTGCTCTATTTGGCTTCCAGACTCTGATGAATGAATGCATTGCCTCTATTTTCATGTTCATGCAACTCAACTTGTTTACATTGAAGGTACAACAATTAAGGTCCTGACAACTTGTGCAAATGAGCCCATGCTCTGGTGAAACAGGCCACAGGAATGTACTGAGCAGTTGGTGAGCATAAGGCAAAAAAGCGAAAATACAAACCTACTTACCTGGATGGGAACTCAACCATTTTGTAAATGGCTTTGTGGAGCATGTTTGTGGAGTGTGTAGGTATCGA